TACAATTCTTGTATAAATGAGTATCATCTTGAGTGTCCAAATCAATTTGACAATTTGTATGCATCAAGGACTTTAAAAGGATTCATATGCCTATTCAGCGAGGCAGGAATAGATCTTAACCCAAACTAACAGATATATTATGTATGAATGTTCATTATATTATAACTTATAATAGTAAAAAATGAAGCAGCTAATGATCATCATAGGGGACTAAAATAACACAGCCATCCCAATGAATATTATGCAGTTATTAAAAACAAATTTTAAATAAGATGAGATCATTAAGTGACAGAAGCAAGGTATAAAGCGGTATTTGGCTATGACTCCAAATTTGTGCCACTATGATTCTCAAGCAGTAATAAGAGAAAAATTACAATAAAGAATTGAAATTACACAGTAATCAAAATCTATTCCACAACTTGAAAGGACACAGTGTTAAGACTTGCTACCCACGTCCTGATTTTACAAAGAAGTGTGGGATGAGTACACTGCTGATTCAGATCCTTTTTATGAATGGCAGGGATAGGAAAATGGATAATAAAGCTAAAAGTTATGTCTGCAACTGATTTTCAGCCTCTTTAAACTCTCAGTTTAATGAAGCTTTTGGTTGACTTTTTATAGCAGATGCACCAATACTGTGCCTAGCTAAGAAGTATGGATGGAGTGTGCAGAGATGAAAGGTCAGAAAAGGTGAGGACTCACGGCCTTCCAGTATACACAATTTTGCACAGTGAAATAGGAAATGAAACACTGTGGAAACACATATACGTACACACAGATTCAGATCTGCAGATACATATTCGAAGTACAAAACACTCCCACCCCCACTCTAAGCAGAAATGCCTCGAAACACCACCTGTCCTTTCCTGGATTCACTTGTATTTCATTACTGGTTTTAAAATTTCGAGTTATTCCCAATGCCCACCGCTACCACCACAACCAAACAAGGCTAGCAAGGATGCCAAGATTGTTGTCCAGCTTTCCAACTTACCTGCGTTTATTTTTTCACATCAGTATTTCAAAGGTCTAATCTAACCCCATAGATAAGAGAATAAAAATGTCTGCACATTTATACATCTCACATTACGCACTCTTGTACCGCAGAAAAGGAGTAACCCCCAAGTCCTTGTGACTTGAAATGACATCTTTCTGCTCAGTGCTCTTCTGACTTGGCCTATGTGACCACAGCTCTACCTGCCTGCCTGCCAGCCTGGGGCCAGGTGCTTCCCGCGGCCCCACAGCACAGCAAGCTTCTTTCTGCAAACAGTCTGGAATCAAAATCAACTGAAGTTATTGTAAAAACACAAAAGAAGGCAAAACACATCTATATTGCCACTTTACATAGCACAACTCTCAAAATAAAAGGTGTCCGCTTGATAGTATGCACATCTATCTACTTGTTTGCAGATGTCGCAGGGCAGAACAAACAGCTGGGGGATGTCTGGTTTGTTTCTGGTGGCCAGTTTCAGGAAGTACCTACAAGCATTTTCTTAGTTTTGAGCTCGGGTTCCAATTCCAAGGTTCTGGTGACTTAAAATTTTTCCAGGCTGGAAAAATGCGCTAATTATTAACCTTAAGCATACCATCATTTCTGCTAAAAACATTTTCTACACACAGCCCTAAATTACTTTCAGTTCGGTTAAACAAAACAGACAAGCTGTAATAAAAGGTCTCTGAGAAATGTGATCCCTTTCATTGGTCACCCAGGAGCTTTTCCTCTTAAATCTGCAGCTTCTTGTGGGGGAGGAAGGAGGGCATCCAAAAATACAGATGTCTCCCAAAGCACAATTATTTTGTAAGAAAGTTGCCTAAGATAACTCTTCAGGGTTTCCCAGGTTGAGTAATTACTGCAGGCGGGTGGGAGAGATAGATCGCCTCCAAGATTATGATCTGCAGAGGTTTCCCCTATGTTGGTTTTTTTAGGCGTCCTTTTTAATTATACTGCAAGGGCTCCGATTTCCACATCTCTAGCTGCTGCTGGGGGGGAGTTGAGAGCGCCGCGCCAGGGCTGCGGCAGTGGCTCCGTCCAACTCCAGTGCTGGGGGGCGGGCAGCCCACTCCCCACCCGGTCCCACCCTCTCCGGCACCCGAGCCGAGACTGCGGTCCGCTCGGGTCTGCACAGCGCCGGCGGCCGGGCCGGGACTCACCGCTGTCCAGCCGCGCGATCTGGGGCAGCCGGTAAGTGCTGACCAGCAGGTCGAGCGGAACGGCCACCGAGCTCCACTTCACATCCTTGAGGCTGC